ATAACAATGCCTCATTTATCTGGTATCTGATGGGAATAAGTACAAATATTTAACAATTTTAAATTGTTTTAAAGACAATCTCCATCCATTTCGCTTTTAAACTTTATAAGAAACAAATATACTCGGAAGAGATTTGATTTTGTGTTCAATTCCATTTTGGAGATAGTAGCACTGGAAGTTCAGAATTTAAAGGTATTTGTTGGTTTACTAGGTATAAAATCCTCATGTACTAGCTTCAAATACTCTACAAATATATTAAATTTTTTGGTCTAACATACACTCAACTGAGTGGTTGTGGCATTTAAATGAGATTCTCGTGTGGGGAAAGAAATAGAATATAATAACTACTCGACCTTTTTCAAAAAATCTAAGCCATGGCCATTGTTAAAGAACAGGGATAAAAAGAAGCATGGTGTCCTGGAGCGCTAGATTCTGAGTCTTCCTCTAATCAGTCAAGAAATGCTGAACAAGATGCATACTCCCCTCCTCAGGCTTGGCTCTCTTATGTGTAGAAATGAGGATGAACCCGGCCTTGCACTGTGGTTACCAGGATTAAGTTACTTGAGTGACAGGGCCAAGCCCCACGCCTGGTCCTGAGATACTGCGTTTTCCCTCTACTGCCATTTGAAATGTCAGATAGGATTGAAAATGACGTGAAATCCAAATACCCTAAATACCAAATACCAGAGAAACAAAAAGATGGGTTAACAATCCACTCTACCAATTTAAGGACTGTTGTGCAGAATGAATAAAACAAGCTGAGCTAATGCACATTCTCTGGAGAATTCAAATAATGAATTGGCAGTTTTTTGGGAATGCTAAGAAAAAACAGTCATTAACCTACTCCTTTTATAGATCATAAATGCCTATAACATCAGTTAAGCAGTTAGCTGTCGGGTTCTGAACTAAGTAATTTAGAATTATACTATTTAATCCTCACTAGGAAGTGTCAGAGCCAGGGTTTGAACCCAGTAATCGGATGCCTCAGCTCTTAAAAATCCTGTTATCTGTCTACCTATTAATAAAACATGTGGGTTTAAAAACTTCATGTAAACTTCCTTTGTTTAGAATGACCAAGATCAATTCTTAACTTTGTACTAATTTTTTTAATAACGTGAAGTGCCGATTTTTGATAAGTAAAGAATTAAGACATTTTCCAGATGAAAAGCTGATAACCATATATTCTGAAAATATTTAGAGCATATTAAATCTGAATCAGAATCTAACTCACAATCTGGATCTAACTTATCATTACCAAACAATTAAATTCCAGTCCTGGTAATATTTCTGTTATAACTTATATAGAATATGTACTTTGTACACAGTAAGAACTCAACAAATACTTACTGATTAGCTATTTTTACAGCAGATGGAAGCATCAAATTATAATGTAAAAAGATTTTCCATAGTCAAAAATTTTGTCAGTTACTGCAGCTATAAGTTTTCTCTGGGGGTGAAGGCAGTCTGGGTTATGGACAATTCAGTGTTTATAATGTAATAATTAAGGCAGGGAAGAGAAGCAAGATGACTTTGAATTACTTTCAAAGAAAACAATAAAGATGACCAACAACATAGCAGGCAGCCATCAACCATACTCTCTTTCACCAAATTCTCTTGTTGCCTACTAGAAATGGAAGGCTTCCTCCAATTATAAAGATGCCTGGTATCTTTTGTTATTTGTCATTACTTAAAATTATTTAAAATTCCTATTAGTAAGTGAAAAACCTTTTCATTAAGGTTATGTATTTTCAATGGGCCTTCCCAGTCACTAAATTTTGAAACAATTTAAAAACTATAAATATTCTTGAACTTGCTCAATACAGAACTTGCATCACTATATAATCTTATGCTTGGCCTCTGGGCACTTTATACACAGATTGAGTCCAAAGTAGAAAAATGGAACTAAAATATGTGAAAGTTTTTGTGAGTTGGTTTGTGTGTATGTGTTTTTAAAGAAAGTGTAATTGCTTAACCAGATACTCTTGCTTCTCCAAGTTTACTTATTTTTATTAAACATAAGTAAAATCAGGTCACAACCCAGAAAAGCTTACTTTACCACAAACATATCAAATCTTTATTGGGCTACAAGGAATACAGAACTAAAATCTCTTCCTAATATATAATATTAGAGTTTAAATAATAAAGTATAGACAGAAGTTTTCTTCTTCTGAAATTCTACTTTAGAAAAATCTCCATTCTGCAGTAATGCCATAATCTTTTATCTGGTTTATTGTCTCTCTGGCAGATTCTGTCAGCATCATGAGCCACACTGAGTACTTATTGTGTAGTTAGGTTTACAAAGAAAAAAACACAACAGAACAGAAAACTTTGATGAAAATAAAAAGTGAAAAAAAAAAGACATCATTTCTCTAGTTTATAATTGTTAAACTAGTAAATAATTGCTAAACTGGGGAGGGGCAGGTAATTATTATTTGAATAAAAGATGATTAATTATACATCACTTCTAACATATCTATCATAATTTTGAAAGATGATAGTAAATAAGTAGCTCATTAACTTGGAATACTCTTAAAACAACCCAGCAGTAAAGATTATTAAATAACCAGTAATATTCCAGTCAAATGAAACATTCCTAATGAAGACCAACATTTGTTACATACTAAATTAGCTAGATAGAATTTTTTTTTAAGTCACCAATTCAAATAGAACATTTATATTAATTTTAAAAGTCTGATACCATTAATTTGGATCCAGTTCACCTCTTACTGTAAATAAGAATTGAGATAGAAAAATGAGAGTCACTAGCTAGAAGCCTAAACAATCAAAAATGGATAATTGAATTGTAAATAATTGAAATATATATTTTCTACACAAACCTAAACCCAGATTTTAGAAAGATGCATCTACTCCCCATAATTCAGCATCTACTTCTGCACAGTCTTTTTTGCCTGTCGTTCCCCCCATCTTTGGCTGCACCACATAGTATGTGGGATCTTAGTTTCCTAATCAGGGATCAAACACATGCCCCCTGCACCAGAAGGCAAAGTTTTAACCACTGGACCACCAGGGATATCCCTGCATAGTGTTAAGACGATTTATACAGGTGTAAGATGCAAAGAGTCAACTCATTGGAAAAGACCCTGATGCTGAGAAAGACTGAGGGCAGGAGGAGAAGGGGGCAACAGAGAATGAGATGGTTGGGTGGCATCACTGACTTGATGGACATGAGTTTGAGTAAACTCCAGGAGATAGTGAAGGACAAGGAAGCCTGGTGTGCTGTAGTCTATGGGATCACAAAGACTTGGACACGACTTAGTGACTAAACAACAACAAGATATCAAACTTTTACACTCCAAAATATTCCATCTATATGAAAACCAACAAGCTAATTACATGTTACCTTACCAACTCATAAGCTGATGGCCCATGGTGCGTTATATATTGATACTTTGTACTAGATTTAATTTCATATATCAGAAATAAGGGATTAAGACACAATTTCCTATGTATACTTTTCAGTGATTTTGATTGTCCTCCAATTTAGAAATTATGACACTATAGAATGAAATTAAGTTTCATAAGATGGTAATGAGTACAGATGAATCTCTATTTCCCAGCAATCACTGAGATGGCCAAGAGAATATAAAAGAAACCTTTATTAATACTATAACCTTGGGAATGGTATCAGTGACACCACACATGCCAACCTCCAGGGATTTCTATAACATATAAGTAGGTGAAGAACTACTACAGGGAAGGGCAAACCTACCAGACTTACGGAATGTAAAACAACAACTCATTTGTTAGGGAGACACAACATCTAATAGAAACCACAAAAAATGGACTTGAAAAGTAGGCAGTTAAGTGCAAGTCATACAATCTAGTTCCCTCAATGGCCTTTGGAAAGTGAGACACATATTAGAGATTCATTACCTAGGAATTTATTTTAAAGAGAAAACTGGACAAACTAAGACAAATTTAAGGAGAAAACTGGACAAAACTGCAAGGATGTGTTTTATGATAATTATGATAATAATAGTGAAAACTGTAAATAATCTAAATATCCATTCATAAGAAATTCATATATTATTTTACCCAAATAATACAGTATTACACCCATGCAACTTTTCACTGACATGGAATGACTTCCATAATATACTGTGGAAGGGGAAAGAAACAGATTAAAAATAATATGTGTACTATGAATAGTTACACAAAGGGAGAGCTGCAAAAGCTGTCACCAAAACACAAATGGGAGTTGCCTCTGGGTGGCTGGATATTTGATCATTTTTACTTACTTTTTATAATTATTAGTACTACTGAAGTTTTCTAAATAAATGTATACTGTCTTTGTAATCAAGAGAAAAAATTTCATTTTGAAAAAATAAAGTATATTTATTTTTTAATACTAAAATTTACTTGGGAGAAATTATCTTGATAATTGGAAACATCCATTAAGATACAGATTAAAAGCTCTTTATCATAACATTGTTTATAACAGTAAAATAGTAAAAATGGTAAATTATTAGCAATAATTTAAATGATCAATAGCAAATTTGTCAAATTTTAGAATAACTATACAATGATTCACTACAAAGCCATTAAAAATTACGACAAAGATGTATTCATCACTAGCTCAGTGACCTTGGAAATATCACCTGTCCTCTAGGTATCAGTTTTCTTATCCGTAAAATTCGGATAAAAAGAATACTTACGGTGCTTCACCTAGCTTATTAGCTATACCCTATTGTGAAGAAAATGAAAAATCTGATGTTTGTAAGTTTCCTCTAATTCACAAACACTTATTTCAAAATCAACTTTGCTATATGCTAAAATAGTGCTGGAAGACAGAAACAGGCTAATCTGGATACCTGTAGCACTGGGGCCCCAATAAGTCACCCAGATGACAGTGACAGAGGGAACTGACGTCCCTACTTAACTGAACAATGAAACAATTTATATATACACTTGTTGGCATCATCAGTTTTACCCTCACTGTACAAACATTTACTTTGCTGCTTTAAGGAGTTGAAACCAACCTGCCACGGTCTTCCCCAATCCAGTGGAATAGGAAAGGCACCAAGCCATATTCCTACAAAACTAGAAATTGTAGTGATCTGAAGACTATTCTCCCAAATGGATGTAACTCTGTAAAACACAAATATATATATCATTGGTGGAACAGATCTCAGCTGCTGGGAAATCAAACGAATAGCATATATTAACACCATACATATGTACGTGTTTTGTTCATTTCAAATAAGCATCTCAAATTGACACATAAATATTTGCCATGAATCATTAACAATTAATTGGCAAGAAGATATAAGTGGTTTTCAGTTGGAAAAGTAACATATACACATACTGAAAGTCAAACAATACAAAAGAGTATTTGCAATGAATGCTAAATCCTCCTCTCACCCTTATTATCAACTTTGGTTCCTTTTCCCAGAAATGACTATTACCAACTTAGTACATAGCCTTCCAGAAATATTTTATACACACAAAACCACACAATTTTGTTTAGAATGATATATGCACATCTGCTTATATGCACACATGTATGTATAAACCCTTCAAAATAAAACTCAAATGTACCATGTCATAAACACGGTTTTGCTGTGTATCTTCCCGTTAACAGTTTTACTAGTATTTCATTGTCCCAAGGAAGCATCATTTATTCAACTAGTCCCTTATGGCACATTTCATTTAAGAAAATCAACTCTATTTGGTGGGGAAGGAGTAGAGAATGAGAACAAAATATTACAAAAGATCCAATGATGTGGCCTACCATTCTTATTTATTAAGTGCACATCTTACAGTTTAAAGGTGGAAAGACATAATTCTGCCTGTCTCTTAGTAAGTCTTGGCTTCAGTCTGCCCCTAATGTGATCACTTAACTGGGTGGAATAAGAATCTCATTACAGTGGAGTAAACCACTCCCCAAAAATGCAGTAACTGGAGTCCAAATATTCGACTGTTTCAAATGCAGTGTTTAGTTATTCTGAAGTTTATGAAAAGCAGTTTCTTCCGTTAGTGTGGTAAAGGGGGGAAACATTTGCTGTGTTAGATGACTGCTTTAGAAACAGGCTCATTACTATACACATAAAGTACACTGAATTAAAACCATCCAGAATGACAAGTCAGTCCATAAACCAACATCCCATCACCTATCCATCTCATTACTACCTTTCCCTCACCTACAACGAGTTAAGAGCTTCAGCCTGTTTCTGTTGAAAACTGGAGTGGGAAGAAGATTGGAAGCAATCCCCATACATCCACATCTGTGTTACTTGTTGGGCTTAATTGTTCTTTTCTATTTTGTGTAACACTTAAAAACAAAAGTCAATTTCTTCAACTAACATTCAACAGAACAGGGATCTATTCCAGTCTTAGAGGTGAAAAAACTGATGAGTTGAATGTAAAGAGAGAATTGTACGATTCAGGCAATTTAAAGGTTTGTCTAAGGTAATTTTTTACTTTATGTTGCTGAGAAATGTTGACTACCTTTCACCAAAACATACACTTCTTGGTATTGCAATGTGTAAAGTGATTTGCTGAGAGAAACAAAAGTTGAGAGCAGAGTTCACTTTCTGCTAAGAAGAGTTTTACTTTTTTTCTTTTTTTATGAAAGAGGAAGTTCAGCTGAATTTGGAAGAATGAGCAGTATTTGGTCTTGAAGAAATGGAGAAAGAGATATACTATAGGTTAAAAGAACATAAGCAAAATTGGTTGAGCCCAAGTGGAAGAATGAGTAACAACACTGGAAAAGTAGGTTAGAGTAGGATTTTTAAAAAAATAATGGCTTTATTGAATACAGTAAAAAAAAAAAAAATGCTACAGAGAAACCTTTTCCAGCCATACGATTCACTAAAGTGCACAACTCAATGTTTTTAGTATATTAACAGAAATGCACAATCATCACCCACAAAACAAAACCCTTTACATTAGCAGTCACTCCCAATTTCCCCTTCCTTCTAGATCACTAATCCACTTTCTGTCTCTATGGATTTGCCTATTCTGAACATTTCATGCAAATGAAATCAATGTGTGGTCTTCTGTGAGTGGATTATTTCACTTAGCATAGTTTCCAAGGTTCATCAGTTTTGTAGCAAGTAAAAATGTCATCCCCTTTTATTGCCAAATAACACTTTGTTATACAGATATACCACATTTTATTTTTTCTATACATTAGTTGATGGACACCTGGGTTGTTTTGACTTTTTGGCTATTACATCTAATGCTACTATAAACATTCATATATAAGTTTTGTGTGGACATATGTTTTTCTTGGGGATATACTAAGGAATAGACTTGCTGATAACTCTGGGCTTAACCTTCTGAGGAAATGCAAGACTATTATCCAAAGCAGCTGAGCTATTTTATATTCCCATCAGCAGTGTATGTGGGTTCCAATTTCCAGATCCTCGCTAACACTTGCTACTACTGATTATAGCCATCTTAGTGAGTGGTGAAGTGGTATCTCATTGTGGTAGATTTAGGGTTAAGATTTTTTTTTTTTAATTAATTATTTATTTTTTTATCACAACCATAGTGTATCTTTTTTTTTTTTTTTTTTAACATGTATTCCCCATCCCGGTCCCCCCTCCCACCTCCCTCTCCACCCAATCCCTCTGGGTCTTCCTAGTGCACCAGGCACGAGCACTTGTCTCATGCATAGGGTTAAGATTTTATAAAAGCCTTAAAAGTCAGATTTTTTAAGTCAAAAGAAGTCAAGAGAAGTTTCTGAAGGCTTTAAATCCAGTCAGCAATATGAGGTAAGTCTAATAAGATTTATGTACATGTCTAATCTAAGCTCCAAGTTCCTGAATTTCAAGGGGCAAGATCCATGTCTTCACACTGTTTTTCATTGTTATAAGCACACTTGTGGTCATCTTATATTTGTTAAAATAAGGGCAAATATCCAAGAGGTCGTCCTCTATTTTTGTTTTTTTGATGTATGAAGAGTATTTACGATCTTACATAAAACAAACGCAGAAAAGAATGGAACCAAGACCTAGTTTAAAAATTAGAAGAAATCTGTAGCCTATCTTTTTAAAATTAAAAATTTATATTTATCAAAAAAATATATAAATATCTTTAAAATCAAAGATCACAATTAGACTAATATAACCCCTCTCTGATCCCTCCTCACCCCTGATTTCAGCTTCTACGTAGCAGACAGCTTCAGCTCTTCACTGTTTCTTCCATGTACCTCATATTTAAAGATTTTTCAAGATTTAGTTTAGTTTTTCAAGATGTACTTTCCGCTCTCTACAGTGGAAGAAGAGGACTTAGAGCTCTTCGCCCACAAGCCCCCCATCCCCACACACACATTTCTCTATGACGCCTCATCCTCTGACGGTAACATCGCCTCCTCTCAGCTGCACCTATATTATGATGATTATGGAAACATTCATCACAGCTGAAGCACACAGCTGACCATAATTACACTCCTCCTCAGAGTGAAATTTTCATTTTCTTTGGATATTAAGAATGCCTCTCTTTCTTACCCTCCGTTTACATAACTGTCACTAAGTCATTCTCAAATATTCCAAGGAAACCAGACGTCCCCTGTAAATGCTTGTTGGTGCTCCCCTTCTCTGATCTCCCCCAGTCTTGGGGGGACACCTCACCTGCTCTAAACTGCCCTGCTTGCTGTCTAAGCTTCGGGCGTGACTGTGTTCCTGCGAGCGCCCTACACCATCTCGTGAATTCCCTTGGCCTCTGTCCCTGCTTCTGGGTCTCCATTTTCCTCAATTTCAAGACTTCTTCCTTCTACTTCCCCCCTTTTTAAAAGCACATCCTTTAATACATTCCTGAGAAAATGTAGGGGGAAAACAGATTTTAGAGATGTTTAAAGTCTGACAGTGACTTTACTGTAACTGTTGGCAATCATTTTGTCTCAGAATGTTGAAGGCATTGCTACACTGTTTCCTGATTCCTGCTTGAAAAGTTCAGGGCCATCTGGCTCCCAGTTCTCTGTAAGTGGCATGTTCTCTATGCCCCACCCTCCCACCATCCTCTCTGGGAGCCTTTAGAATCATCTCTTTATTTCTTGTTATCTAAAATTTCACATTAATATGTCTTGGAGTGGGTCTTTTCATCCATTATGCCAGAAATACACATGGGCTTTCTTAATTTAGACTCTCAGGTTTTTAGTTCTTGAAATTTTCATTTATTTAAAAGACTTGCCTTTTGATGCCCAGATCCCTTAAGAATTTTGTTTTTCTTACTCTTTTGCTGGGGAATACTATCATTATGAATTAATTCTCTAATCTTCTTACTTTTTAACCCATTTCCCATATCTTTGCCTTTTTGTTTGACTAAAGGATCTTTTCAACTTTGTCCCTACTTCTGTTGAATTTTTTAATTCCCAAGAAGCTTTCTTCTCTGAATATTCCTTTTGATAACCTCCTGTTCATGTTTATGGATGTAAAATATATATATTTTTAAAGTTACTTTCTGGTGCTTACACTGCTTTTATTTCCACTGAGTTTCTTTTTTGTTGTTTGCATTTCTGGTTTTTAGCTTAGAGGTATCCTTCAAATGTCTAGTGATTCTTCAGTTACCATTCTACTTAAATGTAAAACACTATATATGAAATGTCCAGAAAAGGCAAATTTATAGAGACAGAAAGTACTTCAGTGTTTGCCTGGGATGGAGAGTAAGGGGGTGGGTGGGAGAGAAGGGTGGGAATGGAGAACAACTGTTAACAGGTATTTCTTTTGGGGTGATGAAATGTTCTTAGATTGTGCTGATGGTTACAAAACAGTACCTATACAAAAAAACTATCGAGTTATACATTTTATTGCTTTATTTTTTGGCCATTATGTGGGATCTTAGTTACCCAACCAGGAACTGAACCTCCGTCCCCTGCAGTGGAAGCGTGGAGTCTTAACCACTGGACAACCAGGGAAGTCCCCTTGAACTGTACACTTTAAATGGGTGAGTTTTATGGCTTGAAGTTATATCTCAATAATGTGCTTTTTAAAAAGACAACAAAAAAGTGAAACTCTATAAACAGCTTGCTGGCTGATCACTGTACACGAGTAGCATGATTCAACTGATGGGCTTCACTGTTCCAGGAAATGGGTAGGAACCCTGCCTGTTAAGAGAAATCTCAAATGTCAGTATCTATAGGTGTT